CACCAGGGCTCATGAGCACATTGTAGCGCAGTGGGTGACAGATTGCCACATAGCGGTCATAACCCATGACTGTGAGGAGGAAAGAGTGGGTGAAGCCGAATGTGAAAGAGAAGAACATCTGGCTGGCACAGGCCAGGAAGGCGATGGAGTGAAGCATGGAGAGCAGGTCGGCCAGCATGCGTGGGATGATGGCAAAGGTGTAGAAAATCTCAGAGATGGAGAGCGCACACAGGAAGAGGTACATGGGCGTGTGGAGGCTGTGTTCACTCCAGATGGTGGCCATGATGAGCAGGTTGCCCAGCAGTGTGAAGAGGTACATGAAGAGGAAGAGTAGGAAGAACATCAGCTGAAGGTGAGGGAAGGTAGAGAAGCCAATGAGGATGAACTCTGACACTCCTGAGTGATTGACTCCCTGCATGGAGGCCATGCCTGAGGTGAGGTAGGCAGAGGTCATCTACTAGATGGAGAAAAATTATCAGTTTTCACCTTACCTGGACACACCAAATAGGTTGATCCTGTGAGAAGATTGCAGATGTATTAATCTTGCTTCTACTATTATAGCCTAAAAATTAATTCAGTCATCATATCAATAGAGGTGATATTATTTTCTCCTCCATTTTGAGTGACTTTCGCATACTCGCTGAGATTATTGTAATGTAAAAATATTGGGCAAATTGTCAAAGTGAACCTGCTAAAAAGGTAGATCTAAGATCAATCCGACACTTGTACTGACCTCTTAGAATGTATATCCCAGGTGTTCCTTTGCTTTGCATCCCTTGTGAAATTGTTCCTTTACTGGAGCTTCCAACCATTGCTGTCCTGCCCTTATACTTTCCTGTGAGAAATCCTGGTTATTTCCCAGTTTCGGGGACCCCAGTAGATGCCAGCTCATGACTAAAAGCCCTGGCAAGGTTCAAGTCCAACTTAATGTACACCAGTCTAATAATTCCTCTTGGATTGCAAGCTCTGAGGTAATCAGCTCAAATGTGTAACAATGTACAGTAGCATAACCAGTTTCAATCCCTACTCTGCCTACGGTGAACTTCAGTAAATTTATTCACACTGTTTTTCTCTGTATTTCTCTCAATATCACAAAAGTTGTAAGAAATAGTAAGTTTTAAATCCATAATGGCACAGGCCTTTAATCTCAGCAATTGGGCGGCAGAAGCAGGGGGATTTCTGCAAGTTTGAGTCTAGTCTACATATTGAGTTCCAGGACAGGATCCAAAGCTACAAAAAGAAAGCCTGGTTTGAAAATCCAAAACAAGAAAAAAGAAATAATAAGTGTTTCTTAAATTTTTATTAAAAGGTGCCCACCCAGGGCTGGAGAGATCGCTCAGAGGTTAAGAGCATTGCCTGCTCTTCCAAAGGTCCTGAGTTCAATTCCCAGCAACCACATGGTGGCTCACAACCATCTGCAATGGGGTCTGGTGCCCTCTTCTGGCCTTCGAGCATAGACACAGACAGAATATTGTATATATAATA